TAAATAACTTGGAAAGAGAAAATTCATAATCATTAATTGTAAAAAAATGAATTAAATTTATAATAATGGATAAATACTTGATAACAAAAGAATAATCAAACTTTTAGATTATATGATCGACAGAAAACACTGAAAACAAAATCATTGTATTAATTAACTATAGTTATTTATTGTGAATTCGAAGATGAGAATCTTCTCTCAATGATCACTATCACTTTAGTTTTCATTCAAACTTTTCAATATTTTTCTTTTCGACATTTTTCATCAAATTCTTAGATATTTTCGAAATGATCTTTTGAAAAAGTGTATATAGATAGATATATTTTCTTTTTATTTTCTAAATAGGATTATTTTCGTGATGTTATGAATCAACTTGAAAATAATCATCTTCGTCATATTGCATTAGAAGTTTTATTAACTGATGTTAAATCAATATCATATGATGGACGTAAAATTCGTAAATTTGCTCAAGCTGTATCACCAATATTATTTGCTGATATAATTAAACATTTAGAAAAACGTATAATAACACGTTTTTCACTTTATACATTATTAACATTATGTAATAAAAGTCGTGATTCATCACGATCATTAAAATCATTTCTTGATGAACATAAAATGTATGCAATTAATGATATAAATGAATTAGAAAAAATTTGTTTAAAAATTCTTGAAGAAAATCCTAAACAAATTGATCGATATAAAACTAATCCAAAGAAAGCACTTGAACAATTACATACAAATATTTGTAAGAAATATCCTGGTCGTATACATGATGATTTAGTTAATGATTTATTTAAACGTTTATTAGATAAAAGAACATAATAAATAAATTAATATTAGATTTATAATGACTTTTGTTTTTGGTTTGATTTTAGATTTTTAAAATGTTTATTCGATTAAATTTTTTTCGAATTATTTTTCAACGTTGTCATTCAACAAAGTCTACACCACATCAACAAGCTATGATGGCACGTGGTTTACCAAAACGAACACCAATTGAAGGTGTTCAACATATTATTGCTGTTGGTTCAGGCAAAGGTATATGCAATTTATTTCATTCATTCGATGAGGTAATTTTCATACATATTAGAATTTCTATCTATTAATTATAAAAACCTTGCATTAGTTTTCATTTATTTATTTATTTAAATAATTCCGAATAGAATTATTGATCGAAAAACAAGTTTAGTTAACTATAATTTTGATTACGAATGGTTCGGGAGAAAAAAAATAATAATTATGATTTAAGAAATTCTGAAAGTTCTTTTGAATAAATGAGAAAATAAAAATTCAACTTTAAAATAATCAATCAATTATAAATAAAATTTTATAGTAATTTTTTTGTTTGACATCACAAAAAATGGTCAATTGTTATTAGAGAAGTAAAAATTGGCAATAGTACTTGAAATTTTTAGAAGATTTTACAATTGGAAAAAATAGAATATAATAGCAGACTGTCTATTCATATCAAAATTGACAATGAAACAAATGTAAAAATAAAAGTCTAAAATAAAAATTTTAGTTATGACTAACATATGGATGCATAGTGACAGATTGGTGTCAATGTTCATTGAAGCATTGACATATAGTGCTCTAAAAAAAGACATATTAGAAGAGTTGATGTCTTGATGTTGTAACGAATGTAGATATTAGTGTCGTCAATGAACCTTATGTTGATGAATCACTGTTCAGTATTTACCGTGACCTGAACCTTGATTGAAAATACAAATGTCGAAGGATATAGTGTAAATATGGATTTACGTATGCGTGAAGAGTAGGGCAATACTCACAGCTGTAACCATATGTTGCATGCAAACTAAAAAGCAAACGGCCAACAGCACTACAAAATTGAATAAACACATCGTATAATCGATATAATGATTTTCTCATTATAGCATCTGGTTTTCTTAATCGTTAGTCTTTCATTATAGTAAAAAAGTTACGATTATTCAATAGCAATAATATTTAACGTAGATAAACTAAAATATGAAAGCTGTTTTTGCTTGTCTTTCAGTCTTTCTTTTTTGTAATAGTAAACATTGAATTTCATTCAGAAGTTGTCACCTCAGTTTTCAATAAATCTCCTTTTGGTATTTTCACCTTCGACTAAACTAAGAAGAGCCATATTTACACTCATATTGCACATCTCTCAGGCTGATGTCTTGAATATATATTTAAAATTGTTTTTTTTTTCAAGGTGGTGTTGGTAAATCTTCTATAAGTGTTAATTTAGCTCTTGCATTATCTCGTTTATCTTATCAAGTTGGAATATTGGATGCTGATATATTTGGTCCATCAATTCCAACATTACTTAATCTACGTAATCATAAAGCAACAACAAGTACAAAAACAAATCTTATTGAACCATTAATTAATTTCAATTTAAAATGTATGTCAATAGCATTTTTAACTAAATCTGATGGAGCTATCGTATGGCGTGGTCTTATGGTAATGCAAGCGATTGAAAAACTTCTTCGACAAGTTGCTTGGTCTCCATTAGATTATTTAATTATTGATTTACCACCAGGTACAGGTGATATACAATTATCTATAGCACAATTAATTCCATTATCTGGTGCTATTATGGTAACAACACCACAAGAACTATCATTAGTTGATGTACGAAAAGCAATTGAAATGTTTCGTCTTGTTCATGTACCTATTATCGGTATTGTAGAAAATTTTTCAACATATTTTTGTCAAAAATGTGGTCATGAAGAAAAAATTTTTGGTGAAAATGGTGGTCAATTATTAGCTAATGAGTTTCATTTAAATATTCTTCAATCATTACCTATTAATAAAAATTTTCGACAAGCATGTGATCAAGGTCGTCCAATTATACAAGAAAATGAATCGATGTTATGCTCAAAATTTAATAATCTAGCAAAACAAATCATCGAATTCATGCATATAAATAAAAATACAACAGTGAAATAGCGAAAAAAATAGTTATTCCAGCATTATAATATTTTTTTGTATTAAATATAAAGCATAATGTTTGTTCTTTTTTTGTTTGTGTGTCTATGTTTGAGTAGTCGATTTTTTAATTACTTTCATTTAAATTAGTAACGAACAAGCTATTACGTGAAAATTTATCAATGAACAAAGTAGTCTCATTAAATAACTATCATCATAGTACATACTGATTGTCATTGGTTAATTTTGTTGTCCTTCGATGTTTTGCTTCAATGAACATTTACTAAGTAGTATAACATATATTGTGAAAAAAGTGTATAAAGAAACAAATGTCTCGAACCCAAAACCTTGATGGCTCTTATATATATTTTAATGCTCAAGACAAAAGGATAAATCAGTGATATAAATATTCTTTTTTTCCTTTTGTTTATTTTTTTTTCCATAAAATAAGTCTGAATAAGATGTCTGGCTTCAGAAATCTTTTTGGTAGAGACTATGCAGAAGATAATCTTCGAATTATAATAACTCGTCATGGTGAACGTGCTGATCTAGCATTAGGACCACATTGGTACAGTGTTTTACGAAGAGCTGGTGGTCGTCATTCTCTAGTATCATATTTAGCACATCGACCAGATTCTAGTGAATGGAAATATGATCCACCATTAACGATTCGTGGTGAAAATCAAAGTAAATCTACTGGTCGAAAATTACTTCAACTTGGCTATCCAATTGATTATTGTTATGCATCACCTGCTTATCGATCCATACAAACAGCAAATAAAATTCTTGAAAGTCAAGGACGAAAAGATATACCAATCAATATTGAACCTGGTATGATAAAAACAAAAATAATTATATATATTTGTTACAGAAGAAATTGAAATTATAGAGGGTGAATGTGTGAGTGTTGATGTAAATTTAATTATGAGTCAGGTTGTGTGTCTGGCATCCATAAAAGTACGCGAGTCAAGCAATGTCCGACATCAACACTCATAATTTTAATTTTCCTTTAGAAGAATTTTAAAGTGTTCTTGATTTTAATTTCGCCTGTAACATATATATATATTTTTTTTTTCTTTTTTCTTAGCAAAAGAAAATCTCTTTTTAAAGGTCTTTTCGAATGTTCATCGTGGCATTTCAGTGCACCAGTTTCATTCATACCACCTGAATATTTAGCAATGGATAGACATTTTAATATCGATCCATATTATACACCATTATATGATAGTGTTGATGCAACAGAAGATGAAGGACTTTATTATCAACGTTCACAGCGTGTTATTGATGCCATTGTTAAAACACATAAAAATCAAGGTGGTACTATTTTATTATCTGGACATGCTGGTTCAATTGAAGCAATATCACGTGGTATGCTTGGTCGTCGTGCACGACCTGAACGCCTTCAATATGAAGCTGGCAAGGTTGATTATTGTAATTTTGCTATTCTCGAACGTGATGCATATTCACGTCAATGGCTTGTTCAGTCACCATTAACAAATGAAAATTATTATGGTGAACATGAACATCTTCGAAGTACAATACCACTTCATAGAGCTACTTCACAATTTATGGCAACAAATCTATTAAGAGGATCGGCTTCATTTGCAAGATATTATCCATATAAAAACGATTCGTATCGTTATTATTAATATCATTATTAGGGTAGTTTTTTTATTATTATTTTTTTTTTCAAGAGAAAAAAAAGAAAACACAAACATATCTATATTTCAAAAAGAAAAAAAGATTCAATCCTCCACAAATTGGATATACGCACACACATATTAATATATGTAAGAAAGAAAAAAAAAAAAAGAACATGTCATGCAACTGTACAATGAACTGCGCTCTAGGAAAAAAAGCAAGAACTTCTGTCATAAATGCAATTGGCTTGGTTGAAAACTTTTTTTTGTATTTTTTCGTTTTGATTTTTGGAACAATACACAAACGACAATGAATAAAAAAAGAAAAAAAAACCAACAACATTGACTGACTGACTTGGTATTTGTTTTTTTTTTCTGTTTAAAAAACAAAAAGTAGAAAGATGACTGTTCTCAATAGTATATACGTATTAAATTTAATTTTCACATTTTCGTTTCTTCAATTTCTTGATCTCCACTTTGTGCTACTTCATATCGACTTCTATCATTATATATATGTGCATGATTTGCACCTTGAGCGATCATTAAAAAGATCTAGATTAAATTTAATTAATAAGAAAAAAAAATAAATAAATGAATAAAATTATAATTCATACCAAACTAATCATAATTAATATACACGATGCTGTTGTAACAATACTTAAACTGAAATAATCACGATAAGACTAAAAATGAAGAAAAAGAAATAGAACAATTTTTAATCTTCTTATATTCTTTTTGGCTTTCAAAATCTTGTTTTTTTTTTTTTTTTTATATTTTATAAGCATAATTTAAAATTATATAAATAGACACAAGCAACGAATATAATAACTAAGCGCTAAGCCTTTAAAAAAAAACATAGCTTTTTTGTTCAAGGAAAAAGTGTGTGAGAGAGTGCAAGGAATGCGAAAATAAAAAAAAAACCTATCACAGAAAAATAACAATCATACAACTAGTCATCAAAATATGTTTAAAGGAAAGAGAGAGAGAGAGAGAGACCATAAGGGATATGATAAGGGGCATCATGTAAATGTTTATTTGTGAAAGATGAATGATACTTAACAGGCTCGAGTTCAATGTCAACAATAGATATGCCTTTTTCAGATTGATCTTCCAGTCGTATTGACTGGAGATATGAAATATAGGATTTAATAATATTTTTTTAAATACTTACTGGATGACAAATATCTGCAAGTTTAAATTGCGTTGGTTTTTCATCTAATCGATGTGCATGTTGATTAATTTCATTTAAAACTAAAATATACAAAAAAAAAAAAAAAGAAAAACCAAATGTCAAATAATTTATAAATTACTTACTGTTTACAAAACTGCCTCCAGCAGTACCATAACGATTACTACATACAACAAAATAGATATACAAAAGACCATATAATGGAATAAATGTTAAACAAGCAACACTCAGCCATGATATTGTTAAAAGAAATGTTACAAATAAAACCTATAATTAAATGAATAAAAAATAAAAATAAAATAAAACATAGATGTTGTTTCTTTTATACTTACAAGACCATTTAAAATTCTTGCACATAAATTTTTTCGATAACCCCAAAAATATTTTTTACGAGTTTTTCCACTTAAAATACTTGCTAAAAGAACAGAACATATACCAAATACAAATGTTATTGCAACACCACATCCAATCACAAGTCGACTAAAGTATAAACTTTGAAGAGAAGAAAACAAAACGAATTAGATAAGATTGATTTTTTTGTTTTAAAATACCATTTTTTACATGACCATTTTTCACTATTTTGAACTCTATGTACGGTATAGAGAGTTGACATTGTAAAAAGAACACATCCAATCATTAAGATAAGAAAAGAAAGAAGAGATGGAAACGGAATTTTATAAAACATAATGAATTTATTAAACTTGTCTAGAAAACAAAGAAAAAAAAATTATCAATGATAATGTATGACTATATTTATTTATTTTATAAGTAAAAAAGAATAATGAAACACTTTGTTTCCGATTACATAATAGAGAAGGATGATGATAGTTGAACATTACAAAGAAAAGAGTATATACGATTGATAGACATACATATGCGTATGTATTTGGTAACACCGTTAGGCATAATGCAAAGGAAAAAAAATAGAAAGAGTAACTTCTCTTTCTCTCATATTCTAGTAGAAATAACTTTCAGCTGTAGTTCAATTATGTTTTTTCTTCTCTCTAGCGCTTTTCTTTTGTTTCAATATAACGATGAGATCGATCAATTACACATCTGAATCAACTTCAAAAAAAAAAAGAAAAAGAAAATTTCAATACTAATCTATAGGGAATCTATACTTCATGGTAGAGTGGTGATGCTGGTGCATGCAAATAACTATATATGAATGTATTGACACGTATGAGGGATCAATGGGATCACATACATATAGTCTTGAATTCCCATCAATTGTGATGCAATATACATTTCTCTTTTCTCTACTATATATTTCATTCATCAACTCAAACAGGAACTTACATATGACATTGATTCGTATGGGACACACGAGCTTGATTTATATTCATAGACCGGCGACGACATATGAACATAGCGGCGGATCATTAGAATGACCATCACTATACAAGTGAAATGAGCGGATATAAAAAATTGTATATATGATTGATTCATTCAATGTAAAAGCACAACTTTTTTCTTCTTTTTTTTTTTTTTTAGTTCGCATAATTTGCTTCTTTTTTTCTTCTTGTTCTTGTTCATCGTCTCATATGTAACGACAATGATCAGATGCTGCTAATAGTAATAGCAGTACTACTACTACTTCTACTATTATTACTACTAATGATGATGGTTATAAAGCGTATATATACATGAACAAGCAAATAAACATGCGATTTACATAAATTAATAACGGGTTAGCACGATAATAACCAAGGTTAGAACTAGAAAAGAAGACGAAGAATAAGAAGAAAAAGGAAATAAAAGGCGAAGAATAGTCTACGACCCTTAGGATGTTTACTGATCATTTTTATCATTTGATAGATAGATAGGAACATAGATTGATATCGACAAATCATTAGTCCACATCAGAAAAAGATTAAAACTCTTATAATGTTCATTGCACCAGTTGTAGAAGAAAGAGACATATATTTCTATATTTTGAATAGAAAAAAAAAAGAAAATGTGCACATATACATACTGTTGTTTGAGTCAGACAGAATGATTATTTTAATGATAACAGCCTCTTTTCGAGACATACTTTAAATCATAAAACAAAAAAAAGGCTCATAACAATTTCTTATCTAACTGACTGGCAGCGAATTACGATGGAAGGACAACGACGTCTCGCATCTCGAACAAAATATCAAGGATGATATGATTGTCTGACCAAATCTAAGTTTCATTTCTTTTTTTCTTCTTTACATCTTTCTTTTTCTCATGTACATAGAACTAACTTATGATGCAATGATGATCTATAGCATTTGAAGCACATACATCTAAAAGGTCATCTTAATAAGCATGTGAACGCAGTTGCCATCATCACTTACGAAACTTTGTGTGATGTTATGAATAGTAGTGTTTAGATCTTTTTAGTAATGACACCGGAAATCGTATTAAAACGGCTATCATAGTCGGAATTGTTTTCAATAGTCGTATGCGGATCAACCTCGTCATTGCTGTCGTCAACTATTTGTCATATTCGTTCTAAAAAAATATGAATGAACAAGAAAGAAAAAAAAACTGGCTTGCAAAGAAAGGAATACGATGTAAGGGAATAGAAAAATCTCTCTCATGCCGTTGCCATCATTTCCTTCTCAATTTTTTTTTTGCTGTAGTGCACCATAGGAAGATGATGCACTGTGAAAAGAGTGCAACAAGAGACGACAAAGAATAATTAGACGGATTTTCGATGAATAATAAAGAAGAAGCATCGGCATTTCTTAGTTATTCTCGTTCAACGATTATTTCTTTTTTCTTTCTTTCTTTTTTTCTATTTCTCATCGAAGCAAACAAACTCTAGGAAACAATTCTACAAGAAACATTATTCGACAAATATAGACAAGTTTTCTAATAGAATAGCTGAAGATATAAACTATCAAGGAAACAAAAAAAAAGACAAAATTATCGAGGTCTTTTACTCCCTTAAGCAATTTCACTCTACCAGCATAATTTCATAATGACATCAATAAATAATAACAATAATAATAATAACAAAATACAAATATCCACTTCAGTATTTTTCAATAGATAAACCATATCTTTTGTCTTGTTTAGCTTATGCGAAAAATGATTATTTTTTTTTCTCACCCTTACCTTCTTCTTTTCTTTTTTTTTTTTTATACAGACATCTGCACTCGAGTTCAACTTTTACACACCAAAAAAAAAAATGACACTTTTCTTGGCTTCCTTTTTTTTTATGTACTCGCTAATGCGGTGAACTATTTTTTTTTCTCTCGTGTTCTTTCACGTCTCTTTTGTCCCATCCTAATTCATTCTATCAACATAAAAAAAGGACGAGAGAGAAAGGCCGATGTTTCTACTACCAAGAATTACATTTGTGTATACCTCTTGTAGAAGACAAAGAAAAAGAAAGAATGACCTGATTCTTATTCATTATATATATATATATATATATGCGGCCTCAGTCGTTTTATTACATACCTTCCGGAATGATGGGAAAATAACACAAGGAAATTCATTATTGTTCGATTCAATCTAATAACATTTATCTTCGTATTGTATTAGCCGAAAAAACAATTACGATTAATTTTCTTTTCTGTTTTTTTGGTTTTCTACATCGAGAAATTTTTTATTTCAAATGAAATATCAGACATTAAAAAGTAAAGAAAGTTAAATATATATGGACGGTAAACATGATTTGTTAGTAAAGATAATCAAAGAACAGCAAAGAAAAAAAAACAAAGAATGATATTGAGAACATTTCATAATTTTGTAGTATCATTACTAAATTCTTTAGAAGATATTATTGATAAAATCATTTTTGTATTCGTATGTAATGGAATTTCGTATTTTAATGGAAGTGTTTGTTCATCCTATATAAGAAAAGAGAAAAAAAACAAAAAAAATTTTTATTTTTTAACTTTAAATTATAATATAATATTTTACTTTGAGATTAGTAATATGTGATATACGATCTGTACATAGATCAATTTGATCAGGTAAAAGCATTATTTGTGCTTCACGAATACCTGAAATCATAATTTGTTGATTTGAATTCACCATAATTCCTTGATTATTAGCTCCAATTGAAATAAAACAAATTGATTGATCATTTAAAGAATCAAATATAAACCATTTATCACGACGTAAACGTGTTCTATTTATAGATATAAATATATTGAATAGAAAATAATTGTGTTTTTCTTTTTTACCGAAGAATTTTAACAAATATTTTTGCTGCATCTAAATCAAATTTAAGATCAATTGAAGAGATTGGACGAAAATTTGTATCATGTATTGAAACAGATCTAAATAAAGAAATATATATGTATTATTAAACGATATATATTTATATATGTCATACTCAGCATTCCAAGCACATCGAGCAAGTACTCGACCAAGTTGTGAACCTTCTTTTTCAATTTTTTCTCGAATCATTTGTTTAGCATTTGGTATAATATCAAAAACTGATTCTTGACGTGTCATATCTGTTACCAAGAGAGATCCACCTGTTCTATAGAATAAAATAAAAATATAACAATAATTTTTAAAATAGAATTATATTTCTATTACTTTCGATGTGTACTAAATAAATCAATTATTTGTGCAACATTACATTCTTGTGCTGCTTCAAGTTCATTTTCAAAACAACCAACAAGCTAATTTTTAAATCAAAAATATATTTAAGAATAAAGACAAAAGCAAAAAAAGAAAAAAAACACTAAAGCAATTTATATACTTGTAAAAATTCTACTGAACCAAGATTAGTTCGAAAAGATTTTAATTGTCTATCGTTAGTTATTAATAAATCATGTATACGAGTATCACCATTAGATGAATATAAATTAGGTAAAACATGTCCAAATGGTATATGATGACCAGCATGAAATTGCGTACCTGTTTTAAAAACATATTTAGCCAAGTATTGCAATAATTTACATGGCCATAATGGAATATCTTGAACTGAATTACTAATTTCTGGAGGTTTACGTAAACGAAATGTTAATTCAAATCCATAACCAGATATTGGATTAATTTCATCTTTAGATGGAACTCTAGAAAAGTAGAAATTTTTTTTTTTTTTTTTTGTTTCGATTGTTTATCGTAAAAATCTAGACAATGAAAAATTACTTATGTATTCGACCATCACCATGAAGATCACTGAAGCCAAATGTAACATAATGCCAATGAGTAGGTGATGTTTCATTACCTTGATTATGATAAATTGATATATAATCTAAGCATTCAGATCCACCAAGCCTAAAAATCAATCAATAACTCTGATAAAAATCATTCTTATTATTATTCTATCGAATAATTATACCAATATTTAACTACACTTGCTGCTTGAGTTGGATTCAACTGATCAGGATAAATTTTTGAACATGTTTGCACGATAGCATCAATTCCTACATATGATCTATTATTGGCTTCTGTCATCTGTAAAAATAATATTTATATGTCTACATTAATACACAAAGGAGCCAAATAAAGTACGCATGTGCTTTATTCGAACCATCAAAAAAAAGAAATGAAAAATGAAACCAAAAGATAAAATAGAAATCAGCAATAATAGTAATAGAACGTTGAGAAATATCAAATAAATCAAATCGGGTTGAGGAGAAGGAGGGAAGGAAGAAACAAAGAAGAAGAAAAAAAGGATGAAATAATCGTACACGT